CGGATCTCCACGTTTGCTGGACGGGCGTCCGGCGAATGTTATCACATACCTCGGTAGTCTAAAGGTAGGTCGCCCGTCCAGCAAACGTGGAGATCCGGGTTCAATTCCTGGCTAAGATCATGAGGTAATATTTTTTCGCAATGAATTCTTTACAGATTCGTATAGATGCAAGTTAGCATTTATTTGATGTCGCGAAAGTGGGAAGGATTTCACAGAATTTGATGCTTTGAGCATCGATTTATTAGATTGCCGTTGGCAATTTAATTGTGATATTACATACTACTTGATTCGGAGCTACGGAGATGCACGCGATTTGCGACCACGTGATGTTATATGAACCAAAAATTGTAAGATTCACACTAATATTATATGGAAGCACCAAATCCGCTTTGTACCGTGTTGGCGTTTTAAGATCTCATTTGTTAAAAAATTTTACAATTTTATAACAATTACATTGTGCATGTAAAACAAGATATATGTATGTATAATATAATTAATTAAAAGATATAACATTTGTTATATTACATGTTACTCTTATGTCATATTCTTTGTTTACTAGAATCTTTTCTCGCGTTGTTTGTTTATTTATTACTTTACTTGGCTATGTCTAACAATAAGTAGAATGAAATTATTATTACAACGTTTTCATTTTATGCATATATCATTGGAAGAATAAAGAGAATGGAGTGTTAAAAAAAGATTTAATATTTTACATTTTTATATATACTTTTTTTTGTTTTATTTCGTTTTTCTGCTTATATCTTATTTTTTATTGTTGCTACTATTTATTATGATTTTACGTACCAATTCAATTTTATTATTAGAAAGATCCAAATCACGTAATTTTCCCATCTGTGAGAAGGCAAATTCGTTTACGTGCCACAGCATATTTTTGGATAAATTCAACCATTCCAAGAATTGTAGCGATTTGATAAAGTCGCTAGAAAATTGAACAAATGTATTGCCTGAAAGATCGAGTCGCCTGAGTCTGGGATGGATTGCAAAAGCTATCGGAGATAACTGATTGATGCGATTGTCAGATAGATCAAGAATTTCTAAGCCAGTGCCTGTGTTGAAATGTTCGCCAATAAACGACGTGAGCTTATTACCTCTCAAATTTAACAAATAAAGATTTATAAGACCAACAAAAGCGTTGTTATCGATGTGTTCAATGACATTGTACGACAGATCAATTGCCGTGAGATTATAGAGATACTGGAAAGTGCCTTCGTCAATTTCTTGTAGCTGATTGCCAGTTAGAGAAATTCTTTCTAGTGATTCAAGGTTCAATAGCAAAACAGTCGGCAAGATTTTGAGCTCTGTGTATGATATATCAAGATCGATTAAGGACGAAGGAAATATTGGCGGAAAACCACCGTATAAAGGATTGTTACTAAGATTTAAATACTGCAGTCTATGCAAGTACTTGAAAGTATCCGGTGACACTCGCTTTAATTGATTACCAGCCAAGTTTAGTGAAATTAAATTTCTTAATGGCAATTCAGTAATGGCTATCAATCGATTATATGATATATCAAGATTCTGCAAAATGTCTTCCAAACCAACAAACATGTTTTGCGAGATAATAGATAGCATGTTGCCAGAGAGCTCGATGCTAGTGAGATTTTCAAAATTATAAAACAATCTGGGAGGTATTTCGCGAACAAGATTACGTGTTAAACCTAAAGTCATGAGATTTTTTGATGTGGCACGAATTAGTTCTGTAGATAGTGCAGCAATGCGATTGAATTGCACGTGCAGATGCGCTAGAGATGGTAATCGTGTAAGTGCCGAAGCTGGCACTAATAGAATGTTGTTGTCTTGCAAAGATAACCATTTTAATTTTGTCAAGCCTTCAAAAGACGATTCTTCAATCTGTAAAAAAAAGATATGTAAAGTGTAAAATATGGAATTATATAAGAATTATATAAGAATATAGAAATAAATATATATTTTTTATTATTTGATAATTATTAAAAATTTTTTATTCGAATTAAAATTTATTATAAATTATTAAATTTATACTTGTAATAGTTTATAAAAAATTAATATTTAATGTAACAATATATGTATTTCACAAGGGTATATCTAATATAAACGAGAATTTCGCTTTAAAACCTAGGGAAAGCGAAGTTGAGCGATGCGACCTTGAGGAGAGGTGATGGTAAGGATTATGAGAAGGTTACTTTATCTGAAAGCGTCGCCGAGTCAGTACGGCAGCTACAATAAAATGAGCGAGAAAGAAGTTCTGTCTGTTGTGCAACAAATTATAATCAAATTTCTGGCGAAGGAAGGAGTCCGGCCGGCTGAAATTCTCTGAAGATTACTTGAACAATTTGAGAAATCCACCCTCTCACAGACCCGTGTGTTTTTTTGATATAAAACTTTCTCTAATGAACGAGAGATGGTTGAAAATGAGAGCCACGATCGCCGTCCCATATAATATATTTTGTTGCGCAACAGACGGATGAACTTTCTCGCTCATTTTATTGCAGCTGCCGTACCGACTCGGCGACGCTTTCAGGTAAGATATCACCTTCTCATATCCTCACCATCACCTCTCCTCAAAGTCGCATCAACTCCGCTTTCCATAGGTTCTAAAGCGAAATTCTCGTTTATATTTGATCTACTCTCGCATCTTATAAAAGAAACTATAATATATTGGTCAATATGTTATCAATATTTTATTTTTCCTATCTTTATATCTAATAAAATATATTTAAAATAAATTTTATTTACATATATAAATATACATTGAAAAAATATATCAAACAATTTGTTATTGCAAAATAATTTTTTCTTAATACACAAATTAATAAAACACGTTATGAGAAATTTATAAATAAATAAGCAATAAATAAGTTTATGTATAGGTTACAGAAAGACAAATAAAATTACAAGATTGATTTCTAGTCATAAGAATGTGCGTACAATTTTAAACAGATTTTTCAAAATAATTCTAAAAAATTGCAGATTTTTTAATATTTAAAAGTAACACAAAAAATTTAGTGACAATTTAGACTTATGGATTATAAATTATTTAATAAAAAGTAAAGAAGCATGTAACATTATAATATAATACATTTAAAAAATTTTCATTTTTTATAGGTACTCAAGGTAATTTATGCCAAGTTTCATTATAATGCGGAATTTTGTAAATAAATAAAGCTTACTGAAATTAGAGAGTAGTGGAGATAGAAATGTACTAAAAATATTTTGGAAAATTCAAATGCACTTCAAAAAACCATTTTTTTCCAATATAAATGAATATTGTCCAAACTGTCAAAAATAAAGAAAAAAGTTAAGAATATTCTTAATAAAAGTTTTACAGTTTCAAATTCACTGTTTAAAACAGTGAATAAAATACTCTCTTAAAAAAACCATTTTTTTCCAATATAAATGAATATTGTCCAAACGGCAAACTGTCAAAAATAAAGAAAAGAGTTAAGAATATTCTTAATAAAAGTTTTACAGTTTCAAATTCACTGTTTTAAACAGTGAATTTGAAACTGTAAAACTTTTATTAAGAATATTCTTAACTCTTTTCTTTATTTTTGACAGTTTGGACAATAACATTGGACTGTTTAAAACAGTGTTTAAAACACTGTTTAAAACAGTGAATTTGAAACTGTAAAACTTTTACTAAGAATATTCTTAACTCTTTTCTTTATTTTTGACAGTTTGGACAATATTCATTTATATTGGAAAAAAATGGTTTTTTCAAAAGAGTATTTTATCCTTTTAAGATATGAGAATGCACTTACAAAGAAATATACTTTGTTTTTCATCTGTAATTTTTTCATTGTTTTTAAAAATCAGTAAAATAGATTCTTAATCCCTTTCATAACAAATCTTCGTTAGAAACAAATATGTACCGTGCGTAATGCATTGAGGCTTAGATCTAGTTTTGTGAGAGCGATAAGATTGGAGAATGTATTGGTACCAAGTCGTCCTATGTTGTTACGGCTTAAGTCTAATATTTGCAACTCGTTCAAGCTTAACAAATGTATCCGTTCTATTTCCTGCAAAACAGAAAAAAATCGTATATATAGATTCACTATGAGTGATATAAATATATAATGGTATAAAATGTAAATAAAAATCTTTGACATATAATTTAAAATACAATTAAAAATAATAAAAAGAGGGCTAGTGAGCCTGACTCGGTGTTTGTGTCAAAAATTATTATAATTCAATATTATATGTTTCAATATTAATTAATTTTCAATATTATATGTTTAATACATGGAAAACAAAACTTAAACATTTCGACCCTTAAATAGCGATCATCCTCAATAGAACAATTTATAACATTTGTTGACGCAATTAAAATTTATAAGTTAAAAACGAATTCGGGATTTCATTCTTTGACGCAGTATAATACTTTAGTATAGTCGGTAATACGCATCCGCAAAGGTCACATAGCAGTCCATAGTCTATATATCTTTCGATTTTTAACAGATACGAATATTTCAGTCTCAGGACGCAAGTAATCAGACCTGTGAAATTAAACAAGAATGTTGTTAAAAAAATGTAAAGCGATAAAAACGGAATTGGACTTGTTAACAAAAAATGCAGTCTAGATTATAAAAAAGAGCTAAGAAAAGATGATTTTAACAAACCTGATGTGGTAGAGGATGGTAACAAGAATTGAATATGTATACCAACAATGACTTTATAGAAATGACAAGGTGTGCAAAGGAAAGAAGAACAGACGAAATATGATAGAGAAGGGGGGAATAGAGAGATTATGTACAGATAGGCCAGGAAGGGGAAATGAGGTTGAGGAAAGGGATATAAACATCGGAAAGTAAGTCTGTGTCAATCTGTTTGTTTAGACCTATGTGTTATTTTTTAATATAGACCATTTCTGAGACCGATCTTTTTAATAACGGTGGTTTATTGTCCAAAATTTGGACGTGGTCCCAATCGAATTTATGATCTGTTTCCATTCGATGAATTGAGATAACAGAAGGGGATCTACTTTTTTTGTTAATATCAGAGTAATATTCATGGATTCTCGTTTTAAGATATATTTTTGTTCGTCCAACATACGACATCTCGCAGTCTAAGCAGTTGATTTTATAAATCACATCACAATGAGAAACATGTTCCAAAAAATTTTTACCCGTTTTTATAAATTCTTTTAGTGTCTTGGGAATCGTAAACGCTATTGGTACATTATATTGCTTAGTCATAGGTATGAAACATTCAGAAACAGATTTAACATATGGAACAGAAGAATTTTTTATAGCGCTGATAGGGATAGAAACGCGTGGTATTCTCTCGCCATTATGTAGGAAATACTTCAACCTGTGATTGACTGTAGAAAAAATGAAGTTTAAAAATGAAATAAGAATTCTTCAATAAAATGTTAATCATATTGATGAGATTTTTTTTATGAAGTCGCGGATGGGAAAGCGATATGATTTTGCCAACCAAAAATAATTCTCCTTTTATAGCGCCTATCAGCGCTATAAAAAAATGTTTTGCTATTCTATATGTTAAGTCTGTTTCTGCATGTTTTATACCTATGATTAAGCAATATAATGTACCATAAGCGTTCGCGATTCCAAAGACACTAAAAGAATTTATAAAAACGGGTAAAGATTTTTTGGAACATACTTCTCGTTGTGATGTGGTTTATAAAATCAACTGCTTAGACTGCGAGGCGTCATATATCGGACGAACAAAAAGATGTCTTAAAACGTCCATGAACATTGCTCTGATATTAATAAAAAAAGTGGATCCCCTTCTGTTATCTCATTTCATCGAATGGAAACAGATCATAAATTCGATTGGGACCACGTCCAAATTTTGGATAATGAATCATTGTTATTAAAAAAATCGGTCTCAGAAATGGTCTACATTAAAAAACAACACATAGGTCTAAACAAACAGAGTGACACAGATTTACTTTCCGATGCTTACAGCCCCTTCCACAACCTCATTTCCCCTTTCTAGCCTATCTGTACATGATCTCTCTGTTCCCCCCTTCCCTATCACATTTCGTCTGTTCTTCATTCCTTTGCACACCTTGTCATTTCTAAAGTCATTGCTGGTGTACATGTTCAATTCTTGTTACCATCCTCTATCATATCAGATTTGTTAAAATCATCTTTTCTTAGTTTTTTTTATAACCTAGACTGTATTCTTCATTAACAAGTTCAATTCCGTTTTTATCTCTTTACATTTTTTTTTACAACATTCTTGTTTAATTTCACAGCCCTGATTACTTGCGTCCTGAGACTCAAATATTCGTATCTGTTAAAAATCGAAAGACATATGGACTATCGACTGCTATGCGATTTTTGCGGATGCGTACTACCGACTATACTTAAATACTATACTGCGTCAAAGAATGAAATCTCGAATTCGTTTTTAATTTATAAGTTTTAATTGCGTCTACAAATGTTATAAATGTTCTACTGAGAATGACCGCTATTTAAGGGTCAAAATGTTTAAGTGTTGTTTTCCATGTATTAAACACATTTGAATTATAATAATTTTTAACACGAACACCGAGTCAGGCTCACTAGCCCTCTTTTTATTATTTTTGATTTTGATCTTTGAGTCGTTTAGGTTCTTCTTTGTAATTTTTAAAATACAATTTTTGCGATGCGAAAATATTGCAATTAAATACGAGTACATTAATTTTTTATTGTAATATATAAAATATATATAAAAGCGTTTGCTTTAATCATTAATTCGATTTTTGTATTAATTAATTATTTGTATTAACGATAAAAAGGACGTCATGTATCAGGATACTTACGGTAATAAGATTATTGGAGATATTCAAAAATTTCAAATCTATTAAATGTCTTAGTGCTTCAGTGGGAAACTCCTGGAGAAAATTAGCCGAAAGATCTAACTGCAGCAAGCTAAAAATTCCTGAAATTATTAAAATAACATTTTTTTTTACAACTTTGCTGGATTTTCTATTTTGTTATGACATAATGCAAACTGTGCAGAATTAAAATAAGGACAAAAAAATTGTTAACAAATCTTAAGTTAATAGGCGTTCCTAAACTTGTATAAGGAAGTGCATGGCTGATTTTATCTCGTGAGAAAATTGGACTTGTGGGAATATGGATTAGAGTTTTTTATTTCATTGAGGTCATTCTTCGAAGACTTTCATGGCGCATTTGAACTGTTCGTGGCGTGACTCTAAAGATATTCTCACGTATTAATTAGTATTGGTATTTTTAAGTGCAATCTAAGAAACCACGCATTCTTATGAAAGTTAGTTACATATTTGTAAGAAAGCACAAATACGAATTACAAATATGTAACTAACTTTCATAAGAAAGCACGGTTTCTTATGATATATATATATATATATATATATATATATATATATGTGTGTGTGTATAAGGTGGACCTTATTTTTGACTTTTGAATTTTTTTCACGACGCCCCTTAAATTTGTTCCATTTGGTGAAAAAAAATTGTGTAAAAGTTGAGCTCGATCAGACAACGGGAAGACGTGGCACATCTAACTTGAAGTATTTAAATTAATTCTCGGAACACTTTGTAAATATCACGTTTGTTTTTTGCAAATATTAAATGGCAATATTTCCGTAATGTGCTTCAGAGAAAGAGAGAAAAAGAGAAAAACACCTGAATGAATTATGCAATTAACTCTCAATTTAAAATTCTTTTAAACTTTATTTTAGTATAGATTTATGATTTATATTTTTAAAATTTAGTGCATGAAAACTTTAATTAATTCAAAACTATTGACAAATTAACATTTTTATCCTAAACTTTCTAAAAATAATAATTGCTTGTTCAATGAAATTGATATGAAATGATATGAAAATTGTGAAAACCCTTAAAGTTGTAAATGACAGCAGAACGAGGAGTTAAGCTCATGCAGGATTTTAATCAAATTTTGTCGAGAAATGAGGAGAAAAAAAATTCATTTTTTATATCGTGTCACATTAAAGAACTCAATATCCAAATGTATATAAATCTACTCTTATTAAGGATTTGTAAAATTACAATAGATTTAAATATTACAATAGATTGTAAAATATATAGATGCAAACAATATATTGATATCTTTATTTTTCTGCTTATAAATATAAAAATACGATATATTTCGTATACACATCTATAAGATATTTACGATATATTTAGTTAAATTACGATTTAAATATACTATATTTATTAAAAAAACATACTATCATGGTCCACATTTACTAAGAAAATCATTTAATCTTTATTCAGAATTCTTACATCAGATTTCTGCATTTTTTGTGAAAAAAATATTTGTTTCAATTTTAACAGGATTGTGCCACGTTTATCCAATCGAGCTCAACTTTTACACAATTTTTTTTCACCAAATGGAACAACTTTAGGAGGCGTCGTGAAAAAAATTTTTTACCAAGTATAAATAAGGTCCACCCTAATATATGATATATATATATATATATA